GCATATGCCACTGTACCAGGCTCAATTGATTTGTGACATGAGTCCCAAAACAATTTAATTTGGGTAAAAGACAACAAATATTCTCAACAAATAATGTTGTAATAAATAGATATGACATTTAAAGTGCATCACACAGGACTGGGGATGTGGCTCAGCAATAGAGCACTTGCCTAGCATGCATGAGGCCCTGGGTTTTATTCTCAAAACTACAAAAAAAGAAAAAAGAAAAAGAAAAAGAAAGAAAGAAAGAAAGAAAGAAAGAAAGAAAGAAAGAAAGAAAGAAAGAAAAAGAAAGAAAGGATAAAATGCACCATACAGAAATAATTTAACTCGAATGGATTATAGACCTACTGTAAGAGTTAAAACTACAAAAACTCTTAGAGGAAAAGAGAATAATTTCAATAAAAATAGAAATCATGGCTTTGTTAAAATTAAAAATTCCTCCACTTCAAAGGATACCGTCAGGAGATTGAAAGGACAACCCATGAAATGAAAGATAATATTTTAAAAATACATATCTGATAAAGGATTTATGTCTGCAATAAATAAAGAACTATCACAATTCAACAAGAAAAAGAAAAATAACTCAATTTAAAAGCAAAAGATGTGAATAGATTTTACTTCAGAGAAGATACACAGATAAATAATATGCATAAGAATAAATGTACAACATTGTTAGTTAGCTATTGGAGAAATGCAAATGCAAACCATACCAAGGTATTCCCTTACGCTGGGAAATAGCTATCAAAAAAATAAATAAAAGATAGATAATAAGTGTTGATGAAGAGGTAGGAGAAACTGGAACCCTGATGAGACCGTAAAATGGTTCAGTCACTGTGGGAAGCAGCTGGACAATTCCCTGAAATGTGAAATTTATGAATGTGAAAATTCATTAATTGAAAGTTGAGAGGAGCTGGGAGTGTGGTCTTGCAGCTGGGTCCCGTCATGCACAGAAGGCATTGAAGTGAGAAGGACGAGCTTAGAAAGTTTGGCTTTTGCCAAGGGGTTGTGTAAGAAAGCAATTGAAATTTAAGAACATATCAATTTTATAGGTTAAAATGGTGTCTTTTGTGCTAATATGCATTTCTGTTATTAATGAGGATGTATTTGCAACACTTTTTCCTTTCTAATTTATGAGTTCTATGTAAATTACTTAGTACGTGACCCATAATACACAAATGCGTATCTAGACATGTTAATATTTAACTCACAATTCTATGGGGATTTGAGGCAAGGATATGACATAGTACATCATGACTTTTTTTTTTTTTTTTTAACAGAGATAGCACATTGTCCCAGCATCATTTGTCAAGTAAACCACTCTTTTCTGCACAGATTTCAAGTGTCAATTTTATCACTTAAGTAGCAGCTCCAAGTCGAGGGCCTCCGTCCTCTGGCTTCTCCAGCAAGATAGCGCAACACAGTTTGGGAAGCATCTTGCAAAGACCTATCCAGAAAGAACACTATAGTGCTAAGAGAAGACCAGGGCACATGCCACACAATATAAGACTTTGCAGAAAACATCGAACGATGCGTTTGCCACCTCAGTGTCTCTAGGTGGTAGAGTCACCATTATTTTTCACTTTCCTGTTTTCTTCTGTTCAAATCTTCTGTGAAAAATATTCAGAAGACAAACAATAAGCCGTTAGAAGATGGAAAACAGTTCCTGGATTTTTATTTTATTCATGTTTGTTTTTTGTGGTTCTAAGGATTGATCCAACCCTTCCTTTCAGGACATTTAAATCCTTCATGTCTGGGTCCACCATGTAGCATTATTCGGGGTTGAGGGGCCGCTAGAGATGTGCAAAGTGGATCTGGGCTGGATTCAAGAGCAACCCTCTAGGTTGTGACCGTTGCATCCCCACTCAGTCCTGATCTACCTCAACTTTATTTCTATGGGTGCGGCATGTCCTTGTCTCTTCCCTTGTTGGGGGATTCCCCAGGAGAACCACCCTTTAATTGAATAACAACATGTCGGGTGCAGGGAGTTTGGTAGAAGGTGCTGCAGGTATTTCCTCAGGGAGAAAGGAAGCCCACAGACCCTCCTGATGGTTCAGGCCAATCTCTCTTTGGAAGAAATACAAAGTAGCTTTTTTCTGAGTTTTGGAGAAATCAAGTGGGGGACCTTTAAAAAGGAAGAGGGGTGCTGGTAGCGGGGAGCCGTCTGTGTAAAGCCCCTCTGGACAACCAGCGTAAGGTGTATGTGTGGGAACTGGAACAGAAAATGCATTTGGGTTTCACTTGGAGGGAAGGCCTGGCCAAGAAGGTGGGTGTGGAATCTGTTGGACCTAAGCAGTATTGGAGGGCCGTGTGCACTTGTGAGGTTTCTCTGCCTCCGTTCTTC